GACGCCGACCCTGTGGTCAAGAAGATCTGTACAAGACCCGACCAATCTTCACTGAAGTATACTAGAGAAGAACTGGGACAGTACTGCCGTGAACGAGAAGAGCTTCTTCGTAAAAACATCATTGTTGGCGATTCTACCGGTTTGGCTTATCTGAGTGGCACCCAACGCATCTATGTTCCATCGCAAATACAACATGCGCTACTTCAAAGATACCACGATTACTACGCTCATCCGGGGCGGAAAGCTCTTTACTATTTAGTCTCTCGTCATTGGTGGTTCCCTCGGATGTCCAAGGTCTGCAGTAAATATCAGTGTCTACCGTGTATATTATGCAAGTCGTATCATAATCGTAAGATATTCGGACACCTCCCACAACCCCGCAAACCGCTCTCCTACCTGGCCATCGACTTCACCGGCCCCTATGGTGATACTAGATACCCTTACGCAGTTACAATATCGGATATGTATACTCGGCTCTTCCGAGTCTATCCGACGGAGCATCCTACAACAGATAGTGTCTGTAAAGCCCTTGAAGACTGGAAGATTTCATATGGCCAATACCCTGAACTATTGATGCACGATAACGACAAGGCCTTTTCTGATCGGTTTGCTCAATGGTGTGCTGATAGATGTATCCAGGAGGCCCGGACGGCTATTTATAGTCCGGAGTCTAACTCCGCTGCAGAGCGACCCCATCGTACCTTCCATGATGGGATACGAGCATGTCTCTATTCCTCTGGTGAGAAAGATTGGACCCTACACGCGGACTCCGTCGTCTACCGTATGAACGCCACCAAGAACTCCACTACTGGTGAATCACCCTACTCTATGCTGCTCAACATTATTCCCCGCTGTCCTTTCTTTCAATCTCATATGTCCAATAATAGCTCATCTTTCTCTACTGAGCACGTCTGCTTATTTCCGGTTGGTACGGTTGTTGCTCGCAGGGTCGAGCAACCTTTGAAGCTAGCTCCACGTTACGAAGGGTCTTATGAAGTACTGGCAGAAGTTCGTCCTGGTACTTTCCGCATCCAGAGACTTGGCGCCACTTCACCCCCTATAGACGTGAAGCAGGACCGCCTGAAAGCATATCCAACATCTGATCTTATTCAACACTTCTAATATCAGTCTTATTCCCCATACAGTCCATTGCTTTCAGACGTGTAGCAATGAGCGCTGTTGCTGTTTTTGTTCATCTCTTTCTTTCTTGCTGCATCTACTAAACCATTGTAAGCTTCGAGGGGGGGGGACGTGTAAAGAGTCTTCACTCTCCGCTCCGCTCTTTGTATATTCCGCTAACGCCCATAGCCTGATCGATACATAGCACAATAGCGTAAAAGTAGATCTAAGTGCAGCTCACATATATCCTCACCTCGTCGCGTTGCTAGTATGGTTGGAACCCCAACAGCTGGACTCTCTCCGCTCCGCTCTTTGTATATTCCGCTAACGCCCATAGCCTGATCGATACATAGCACAATAGCGTAAAAGTAGATCTAAGTGCAGCTCACATATATCCTCACCTCGTCGCGTTGCTAGTATGGTTGGAACCCCAACATTTCTGCAGCCTCATCAGCGTGAAACTTGCACCTTATCGACGTGATACCTTCCAGGCTAAGTCCCGTTCCAGTAACTATCCCCCTCGAGGAATCAGAGAGAAAATGTGTAACCCTTCGCACCGCGTTATCACCGCAGAGGCTAGATATCAAACTGCGTAGCCTTCCTAGCAGCCATGCCACTGCTCCCTGCGACTCAGTCTCGGTTATTCCGGCGATCAATGGGACAAGGCTCCATCTATACACCGCTCCACTCCTCGTGTCCAAGCTGAGCATACATGCTCCAATCAGAAGCACACCGCCGCAGCCCCTCAAACTGCGGAAGTGCCCGTCAGCTCCAAGACATTCCGATCTCGAAAGGGCTGGGAGGTTCACCCCGCCGCTTCGTTGGCGAATCCTCACCGAATAAATTGTAAATATTCACAATGCATGATTTGCTCAGAACACACGCCGTCACTGTTTGCCTGCCACTATGACTACTGGTTATCTCTTGACCCAGAGAATATAGCTCACCAAGCAAGCGGCAATTGATTCGATTGTCGACACTTGTACTATGCAGCTCAACTGCCATCGCCCTCATCATCTCCGGGGTTAAAGGAACGAACCCTTGCCGTGCAATTTCGACCCTTAATTCATTCTCATCTAGCAATTTGACTGACCCTTTTTCCCTAGCGTATCGACGACAGTTAGCAACATGACCATATATCTTCTGTTCACCCTTATCAATTTCTTTGACAAATTCGTCCCATTCGCCACCAAATTTAGATTTAATCTACAGGGATTCGTTAATATATCGACCACCTCACACTCCCCTTACATTCGCCAGTACTTTCATTGGTTTGGTGTGCTGAGCTTGAGCCTCTATTTCATGTTTAATCCTGGGCGGGAGAATCAACTTCTTGCTGCTACTGGTCTCGACCTTCCCGCTTCCGTGCCCTCGATTTCCAACACAGACGTCTATCATCTGCCCATCATTGTTGAATTTCACTTTTAATCCATGCGTGGGCACAACACTAATGAAGGCGTTTTCTCTGCTATAAACAATGAACACATTCCCCTCAGCAGCTACACGGCGTGTAGTACACGCCAACTTGCTGGTACATATCGGTCATAACAGTTCTCCAAGGCTACATCTCTCCATGCCAAAGCTCGCGTATCATCCATACGATTCTATCACGTGCCCCCTCTGACTAACCAGCTAGCGTTGGGTCGATCTACGAAATTAGTCATTTTTCAGCACTAAATGCAACGCCTATTTCACTACGAATCTTCTGTTGAGAATCTCAACTTGAGATGTACTTTATTATTGAATTATAGCGCCCAAAATAGACGGACCGACCGTCCGTCACGGGCGTCCAGGTGCTACACGATAAACGGATGTGTGATGAATATTGCGTATGTCACAGATCGAACGAAGTGATGCCGAGTTGAACTATTTGCAAGCAAGAACCAGAGCAAAAACTGGTTCATAGTATCCAGGATTTGTCATCTACCTGCCTCGTCCCAGAACTAGGCAGGGTACTAGTCCTGCGTCGTGACACGGAACATACCTTGATTGTGAGCTTGCGCTCGCCCACCGTGACGTGACGGCCCGAGCGAATGAGAAATGGCGTTCCGCGTTCATTGCGTTCTGCGTCGGGCTCTCGGGATTCCATAAAGTTATTGCCTAGAACTGTCTATTTCGATGCTCGCAGTCTAATCTTGGGTCGAATCTTAGGGTTTCTCTGTGATATAGTATGCTCGCCATGCGAACACTCTTCCTCTCAACAACTTTACCCTTTCTAGCCGCCCAAGCGGGAGAAACTATTCAAGAACAATACCTTCACTATGAGTTCCACGTCGAGACTAGGCTCCATTGTATTGAAGGTTTACGCGACGCTAAAGGCTTCCCGTCAACTTGTGGCAAGTCTGTCGCTATGGAGACGGCCGGGTTGACCCTCCCTGGCATGGAAGATGGCATTTTAACGACGAGGTCTCATGTTATCATCACAAGTGATGGTTCTGAGGTTACCGTAGAAGCTCACCCAAGCTATCCCTACCAGTACTTCATGAGGACTACGGCCCACCACTCGACAACCGTTGAACGACTCATGAACGGTGAAGCTATTTTCGTGGGCAGCCAAGCTCCTTCCACTGATACGCCGCCGATATCGCCGAGTTCGTTGAAGACGCTTGAAGAAGACGGGTGGACTTTTCATGGTACCTCTGTGAAACACCGCAAGAAGATCAACAAATGGGTTAAGCCAAGCCATCATGGTGTAGACCCCGCGACAGGCGTTAACTATTCTGCTATTTATATGGCCAATCTGGGACCAGACACTTGGACGCTCCACACTAACGAGGATAATACGGAGCCGGTGAGGATCGTGGCCACTAATGCTAGACATGGTCACGTAATTCACCAGGAGATGCGTT